ATTTGGACGATGTGTTTGCCGATCTCACTAACCAGGACACCGAAGGAGATCAGGAGGCGGAGCCCGAGCCCGAGCCCATGGAGAACACACATGCTAACGAGGCACTGGAGGTTCTTGATGTGAGCAACGGCGAGAGTCATTCCGAGCTTCCGGATGACGAGTCTAGTGATGATAAAGTCAATGGCCACGTGGATGTGGACGACATCGAATAAGCGCGCTTTTCCCCCCTCTTCTTCCTCTCTTCTCTCTTCCTTGTTAGATCCCTTGACCTTGCATTCAGGCATTCGGCGGCGTTCCGAAGTTTTCATCTGGTGGTTTTCTGTGTGTGGTTCATGAATGAGTAACGGTGTTGACGTGTCTGGGGTTTGATTTCGAGTACTACGGTGCTTTAATACTTTTTGTTATGGACTCGGTGTATTAAAAGGACCAGGCGAGCAGGGTCTCATCCATGCGTTGTTTGTTTCGTGTTTGTTATTAATGGCCTGAGCGCCCGATGTACAATGTCATCTTCCTATCTCTTCATGGTATTATCATTTTCTAGTCTTGCATACCCGTGCTAGTTCATCGTATGACCCGTGTATCTAATCCAGGTCTTTGTCCAGGCTACATAACGCCACAACAGTCCACCACTCTTCAGGACTCGGTAAATCACTCAGCATCAGCATACGCACTCAACGCCGACTGGCCCCCAGTATGTATGAACAGCACATTCACCGCGTCGCCGGGCTCCTCCGCGAGCTTCCCAGGCCCAGTTTCAGACTTTCCCCTCCCCCTCCGCCGCCGCCAATCCTCCTTCAACTCGCCCGACCCCACCCAATGCATCATCGCCCGCGCCACCTTGGCCGTATACACGGGGTCGAGGACGACGGCCTCCGTGCGCGCCACCACGTCCATGGCTTGCTTGGTCTCCGCATCCAGCACCCCGTACCCGGCACCCACGAACCGCTCCTCGAGCGTCACATCCGCCGCCGTGATCTCGCGCTGCGGATCATCCAGCCCAATCAACTCGGCCGCCTGCCGCGCGAACCGCAGCACGCGCTCCTCGTGGTAGGCTTTTGGGCTGGTGGGCGACGTGAGCACGCCGATGATCTTGCGGGGTGGGCGGTGCTGTTGCTGCTGCCGTGCTGTTGCCACTGCTGCTGCTGCTGCTGCGGACGCTGCTGCGGTTGTTCGTGATTGTTGTCCCTCCATCTTCTCGAGCAACTTGAACCCCGCGATCAACCCACCCAGGGTACTTCCGCTGCCGCAGGCGACGAAGATATAGTCGTACCGTGACTTCGGCCAAGATTGGGCGTGCTGTGGGGCATCTCCCTCCTGCGCGGCAATCTCAAACGCACAACGCGCATACCCCAATCCGCCGAGTGGGTGCAGACTGGCTCCCGAGGGGATCCAGTAGGGGATCTTGCCCTCGTGGGTGCGGAGGGTGTGCATGATTGATGCGATAGGGTCGTTGTCGGGGGCGTTGTTGTTGCCGCCGGCGGCGTTTGAGTCTTCCTTCTTGGCCTGGGGGTTTGGGAGGGCCGCCACATTCGCCGAGTCGAGCAGTCTGACGTCTGCGCCGAGGAGCTTCGCGAGCTGGACGTTGCCGGTGCGCGCGAAGGCGCGCGGGTCCGGCGCGGTGCGCCATCCGCCGCCGGTGGTTTTGTGGAGGCACAGCACGGCGGAGAGGTTGAGGTGGGTGGCTAGGGCGGCGACTTGGACGGTGTGGTTGCTTTGGAGGGCGCCTTCTGTTATTAGGGTTGGTTTTTGAGGGGTGGTGGTGGTGGGGCTTGATGATGGCGGAGGTGCCGGTGCACATGCACTCCCCCGCTCGGGGCTGGGGCCCAGTCCCCCGTATTGCGGGGTGGGCGAGAGAATGTCTGGGATGAGGTATTCGAGTTTGCGGTATTTGTTGCCGGAGCAGGCCAGTGGGGAGGCTTGGTCTTCGCGTTTGGCGTGCAGGGTTATTTGGGTTTGAGGTCGGGGGTTGGGGAGGAGGTGTTTGGTTAGGGCGGGGAGGGGATGGATTGGGGATGGGTGGGGGTGGAGGAGGGGATGGCGCGGTATTTGGGCGAATGCTGGGGGGAGAGTTAAGGGTGCCATTGTTTGAGGATTGATTGATGGATGTGTTTTTGAGGTGGTGAGGCTGAGAGGTGAGAGGAGTAGTTAGTATATAGTGGATGTCTGCGGGGTCTCCGTCTGCGGGTTTCCACGTCGAACTTAGGGCTGCGCTTTCCCAGGAAGCTGAAAGAAAGGGGGGTCCGGGGGTCTTCCCCCGGGAATGGACAGGAGGAGGATTGAAGTGGGAGTAGTGGGATTGGGATAGTTTGTAGTTGTTGGAGAGGAGTGTACATCGTGTGTTAAAGGATGGGCACGATGGCGGTGAGATTCTGCCGCGATGATGTCTTAATGGCAATCCAGTCGGTGAGGGGAGAAACTTCTTGATATCGACATCGACGACGAGCTTCGTTCTTACGCTGCCAAGTCAACGCCCACCCAAAGCTCACCATGCCAGCCCTCGATCGGAGTCTCTTCAGATTCCTCGCTCAATCCCTGCAAACACATCACCGCTTCCTCGCCGGTCGCATCACGCGCCCGGAGGAGACTCCGATCTACGTCATCGGCAACCCGTCGGCGGACGTGGACTCGATCGTCTCCGCGCTGGTGTATGCCTACTTCGCCCATCCACGCCCTCACGTTCCCCTCATCAACCTCCCCGACGTCCCCTCCGGCCCCGAGCTGCGCCGTCTCCGCCCGGAATTCCTCGAAGCCCTGCACCTGGCCACGCACCCCGCGGCCCCGACCGAGCAACCATGGGAGATTGAGGCGGACACCACCGCGGACCTCCTCCGCAGCCACCTGCTCACCGTCGCCGACTTCGCAGCCCACCTCGCCCAGATCAATGCTGCTGATACCCTGTCGCTTGTCGACGCCGTCCTGGTCGATTGGAACGCGCTGCCCAACCGCTCCCCCTCCCAAAAGGGCCAAGGCACGCTCCCCGGCCTCGAGGCGATCACCTTCAAGGTCGTCGGCTGCATCGACCACCACGTCGACGAGGACTTCCTGCCGCCCATCGCGGCCGACCAGCCGTTCCTCATCCAGCCCACGGGCTCCTGTGCCTCTCTGGTAGTGAGCATGTTAGAGCGAATGGGCCGGTGGACGCCGCACCCTCTTTCCTCCTCCTCCTCCACCTCCACCACCACGCCATCCCCCCAAAACCCAACAACCGCCGACACCACCCCGGAGGAATTAACAACCGCCGCGGCCCACGAGCACCAACTCTCCAAACTCGCCCTCGCGCCCATCCTCATCGACACAGCCAACTTCACCGCGAAGGAGAAAGTCACTGACGCCGACACGCTGTCCTACAGCTTCCTCCGGGCGAAGATCAACAGCACAAACTGCCAGCAACAGGTGGGGTCCATCGCCGTGGGCATCTCCTCCGGCGAGAAGCTGTGGGACCACCACGCGTTCTACCGGCGGATCGCGACGGCCAAGGAAAACAGTCTGGAGCTCTTGACCGTGCCCGAGGTGCTGGGGCGGGATTACAAGGAGTGGGTGGAGGTTCCTTCTTCTGTTTCATCCTCCTCTGTTGCCGATGGCAGCAGCAGCAGCAAGGATGGGGATGACAACGCAGCGATCAAGATCGGAATCTGCTCGGTCGTCAAGTCGCTGCCCTGGGTGATGCGGAAGGCCGACTCCAACGCCTCGCCGGATCGGTTCCTGGACGAGCTGGTCGCGTTTGCGCGCCACCGCGGCCTGGATATCGTCGTGCTGATGACCGCGTTCGCGGGGCCGGCGGCGGCTGTTGCTTCTGCGTCTCCCGCGTCTCCGGGAACGTCCACGTCCCCGGGGAAGGAAGGACGGTTCCACCGCGAGATTCTCGTCGGCGTGCCCTCTTCCTCGGAGCGCAGGCCCACCGCCATCGCGGCAGCGGAGGCTTTCGTGCAGCGAGGCCGGAAGGAGCTGGGGCTGGAGAAGTGGCGGGCGCTGCTGGACGACGACGATGCGGTCGTGCAGACGTGGTTGGACTGCATGGAGCCCGACGACAGCCACAGACACGAGAACATGTGGATGGGGGTGTGGGTGCAGGGCGATGTGACCAAGAGTCGGAAGCAGGTCGCTCCGTTGGTCAGGGAGGCGGTCCTTGCTGTCTGACGCAGGCATTATTGCTCTCGCTCTCGCTGTGCGTGGTTGGTGGTTGGTGGTTGGTGCGTTTCTTGCGGTGTATATATCCCCTGCATTTAGACCGATCTATAGTATTGTATAGCATAGTAGTATTATATAGGATAGTACAGGATAGGATAGGATAGGACAGCTAGTATAGTATAGTCAAGCATAATATAGGATAGGACAGTATAGTATCCTACTAATTACCTAGTAAACCTCAGTTCGAATGTGAAGAAGATTCATGTGTGTGTATCTATGTGACCAGCCGTAGATCATTCAGACATCATACAATAGTACAAACAAACAGGGCACAGAAAGTACAGGTCAGGTAAGTTGAAGGAAGGTATGCAATGCGACGTTTTTTGCTTGCTTGCTTGCGTGCTTGCTTTGCGTGCTATAGAAACGGAAAGGAATCAAGACGAAACCGAGGAACGCCGCATAATGGGAAGAGTTTTGGGGAAGGGGGGGAATTATGATTATATAATTCAAATTCCCAAAGGAAGGGAAACAATCCCGAATGCAATGCAAAAAAAGGAGAGGAAAAGCAACAAGCACAACAGGGTGTGACTTGCCCCCTCTGCCGTCCGAGCAAGGAATAATGTACATCCTGCAGCAGTGGGACACGTGCTACAGGGTGTAGATGCAAGTGCAGTGAAACAAATGCAAGGGTGCAACAGAAAAGAAAAAAACCCAACCCTGGGGCTTCAGACGATGCGGTCTATGCTGGATGTAATCATCAAGGTAAGGAAGACAGTAAGAAAAGGATATGCATGTTTAGTTGGGTTGCAAAGGATTCGCATGGGCAATGCAATAGCCAGGATAAAGTTACTGATGGAGGGGAAGTTGCGACGTCAGTAGCATTCCCATTCGCAGAATACACACCATCGCGCAACGCGGTCGGCGAGAACCAACCCCCGCCAGATACCTCGTTCCCCAATCTTGATGACTGTCTCCCACACGCTGCCATCCGCCGTGGCGTCCGTGGCGGAATCGGCCAGGCTGTTGGAGCTGATCATGTGGTCGGCTTTGCGCGTCAAGCGCAGGATCTTGCCCGAGGGAGACTGGATGGCCAGCTTGGCCGGCTTCTCCCGCCCGGACAGCGAGCGACCGGAGGAGATGGCCGAGGTGGAGGCCGAGAACTCGTTCGAGACGGCGGAGACCGACGATCCTCCCGCGGAGCTGGACACCATGCTCAAGGCACTGGCCGGCCGCGAGTAGACGGACGGCGACACACGACCACCACTGACCCCGAGATCGCTGCCGCCCGGTTGGTAGGGGGACGAAGCGGGGTGCTGGCGCACGGCAAACACAAAGGTGTTGCTCACGGCCAGCTTGGCGCACTGCGGCTGGATGATGTATAGATCGTGCCGTTGGGCATGAGGGGTCGGATGGCGTAGCACGAAGTCGTAGGGCGGATTGTCTCCCGTGTGAATGATAGGAAGGGCAAGAGCCAAGGGATGGGGGATGTCTCGGCTGGAGTGCATGAGCCCCTTCTTGCCTGCATAGATCTTGACCATGCCTTGTCCCTCATCGCCCGGTAAGACCGCCTTGACGGTGATCCGTTTCTGTCCATTAATCCAGTCAGGCTGGACGAGAGCCCGTTTGCGCACCGTCTCTCCGTTCTCGAAGCAATCGCCATCCGCATCGCAGGCGAAACCGGGCGCTTCGACTTCGGCTGCGCATTCGACGTCTGCGGGAACGAGAAGACGGATCTGCATGACCTCTAGTCCCTCGATCCGGACCACGCTGGTATCATAGTCTGGGAACTGCATGTTTAGCTTGAAGTACGGCGGGCAGGCGGCTGGAAGAGCCATCAGGACATCGGGCGAGATGGGTGGGCAGATGTGCTGCTCATGGGGTGAGAGCGGAAGGTGGGTGTAACAGATCTCTAGAGGACGCGCTAGGAAGTACCAACTCTCGGCCACGGAAGTGTTGTTGGTGACGAATAGATTCCTTTGCGGGTTGGTAGGACTGGCTAGAGAACAATCCATGATGCGCCATTCACCATCCACGAGGACTGAGTTCCACCAATGGTTCGCGCGTGCAACGCCGTCGTATTCGTGCAATTCGCCCGGGGTTTTCAAGAAGCCTCGGATGACTTCAGCATGAAGACCAACGGCGGCACACATCTCCTTGACCAAAAACGCAACCTCTTGAGGGCTTCCCCGTTTCGTCTGTAGTACACGTTTCAGGTCGATCCCAATTTCTTCAACCGGCTCGTCCCAAGCAATCTTCTCGCTAACCCAGGTGAAGATAGCCCGCAACCGTTGAATATCACTCTTGTACGGACGACACACATACCCATGAGCAAGGCTGGCCGGATTCGTCATTGGTGGCAGACTGTTGACGAAGCGGGCGCTCTTGTCGACCAGACTGAGATTGAAGGAGCCAAAATTGTTAGGTTCGCTGATGGGCAACCCGTCAATGCTTTCGTCACCTTCCGCGGTCTCGTTGAGTTCCTCCACCGCGTAGATGACTGGGTGGTCCATCATTTGGCATCGCTCCGCTCTCTCAACCCGCTCATTGTGACTCGGAGAGCTGGCGCGGTTGACATCACGCCGCACCTGCACCCAATCTATGGCAGAGGCACTTCCTGCATCCCGAGCCGAGTCCCGGCTAGATTGCAAGGCACGGATCGGCGAGATCCCTCGTCCTTTAGAGGGGGAGAAAGTACCACCGCTCTGACCAACCGCAATGCTACTCCGAGCGTTAGCTGCTCCCGTCTTCGCCGACTCGAAGATTTTCTTGAAGAATCCCGGTTTCTTGGCCTTTGGAGTAGATAGACCCCCAAGCACCCCTGCGGTCTCTTCCGGTGCAGCTTGAGCAGCAGACCATGGAATGGCGGAAGACGCGCCCTGTCGAGAGGTATTGTGGCTCGAATGATATGATATCCCTGTGAGTGGCGTCTCAGGTCTAGATACCCGAGATACATCGCTGAACCCTCGAGAGCGGAACGTATCAGTCGCTGTGTTTGGTCGTTCAGCTGGCGTCATTCTCCTAGCGTAGCTTCCGGCACTTGTTGCGCTAAATCCACCAGCTGATGGACCGCTCATCACACTGAAATTGGTTCGCTCGGTACTGGCTGTGAGACTGGTGCTGATGCTTTGCACCCCGCTCGAGGAAGTCGTGGTGCTCGACTTATTTGTGTAGCTGCGATTGAGTAGATCCTCACGGAGGTCCTGTCCTGATCGTCGTCCTCGAAGATATGGATACTGTGCCGGAATCGAGTTATGTCGGCCATGGTACGGGACGCCTCTTGGAGGAGGCGGTGGAGGCTCTTCGTCCTCCTCTGGCTGAATCTCCTCCGAGCCCTGTCGATTCTGTTCCTGCATCTGACGGAGGCGGCTCTCCATTCTTTGTACGTAATTGTTCAGCTGCGGAGGGCCATCCGGATAGGGGTCATGCGTCCAAACGCTGTTCCTATGTTTCTGGCTCCCAGGTTGTTGATATTCCTTGTACCCGTCGAATCCCATCGATGTTACGGGTCGGTTGGAAGTTCGCAAGGGTCGACTCTGATTCAATCCTTCGTAGGCATCTGGTGACCAGGGGTTATTGAACAGTGGCTGTGTCTGTGGCTGTGGGGATGGTGATTGCGTGCTTCGAGACAGCCCCATATCCTCCAGTGAAGTCATAACGTCCTCCATTGCATCACGGAGAGGAGAGGGCGTAAGGCCGCGGCCCTCAGAATGGGCAGCAGGCGATGGTGTCCTGGGCATGGTAGCATAACGGTCGTTCATATCCAACCGCGATGGGACAAGAGGCCCAGGAGATGGCTGTCGATGTACTGCCACGCGATGCGGAGGCGGGGGCGGAGGCGGAGATTCTTCCCGTTCTTGCAGCTGTAAGGGCGAGATCTCTCGGGAAGATCGCCCGGGTATTGCTATACCGTGCCGATCGGGATATGGCGAGGGCGTGTAGTCGTAGTCGGCGGGGATATGGGGAGACGCGGCATGAGATGGAGGAGTGGGATGCATTGTCGTTCGCACAGGAGGGATCAGTGGCATGTGAAGCTCGGGGTTATCAGACGGGTAAGGCGATACAGCTCGAGACGGGGGCCTGTTGCGGGGACTATCGGAAGGATACGGTGATACTGCTCGAGACGGGGGTCTCATGCGCGGGTTATATGGTGCCGGAGCGCTCGATGACAGGAGCGGATCAGGCTCAGCTGGAGGACGAGGTGACGCAGCGCGCGATGGAGGCCGCGACCGCGAGGGCGGCCTCGATACAGAGCTCCGGTGCTTGACTGCGGTAGTTGGCGTTCGCAATGGTTTTACCTTTCCAGAAAGGCTGCCATCCCGGGGTGGCGTTTGTGGAATAGAGCTTGCCATCACGGGGGAAGACGACATGCCGCCACGAGACAACTCGCCCGTGGGCGCAAGAGCTTCCCTATGGGCCTGAAATGGTTTCCGGAAAACGGTCTTCGTCTTCTTCGGCGCCGAAGTAGGGTTCGTTATCGGAGAGACCGTTGCGGAAATCATGGGGCTTGTCGACCTAGTCACAGGTACAAAGTCCTCCCCAAGGACCTCGACGAAGTTGGATGGGAACAGACCCATCATGCGCCTGTCGCGCCGTAATCGACCCATCCACCATTGTCCATCTCCTGCGTTCAAACATTCGATAAGATCACCTTCCACAAACCCCAGATCACGTTTTGTCTCGCCTCCCCACGAGTATATGGCTCGACACCAGCATGGAAACCGGGCGGGGAGTTGGGGAGCGGCGGGCGCCATTGCGACTGCGGTTCCCCACGAACCTCCGACTGTATCGTGGCAGCGACCGGTATAGTGCGAGTCAATTAAAGATTAACTTAGGCTTGTTATCACGTCAATGGACAAGAATATTCCTGGAGTGAATGAAATGGAACCGGAAAATACAAGGCAACGAGACGAGTCTAGTCCGAGGCGCGCTGTGGGTCAATCAAGCAACGATAACGAGAACATCAAGAACAATGAGGTGGAGCTGCAAACCCAAGCATGGTAGACTGCAAGCCGGTGAGATGGAATGATGTATCAGATTCCAGGGGCGGTGGGCTATAGGAATGCGACGGGGAAAGAGACTGCTCTCATGCAGCAGTACTGGGGAAGCAGGGCGCCTCGGTCATAACAGGGAGGGAGAAAGACCGAGGACACGGCGCGGGCGAGAAAGGGTGTGGGGAGGGGAAGATGGGATGAATGCAAAAGAGCGAGTAGGAGAAGACGAAATTCAAAGACGAGCAGGAGTAATAGATAGCGAGAGTGAATAGCGACAGAGGATCTCGACACGACGGAGGGAGAGAGGATCGATTGAGAGAGAGGGTGAGTGAGAGAGAGAGAGAGAGAGGGACGACGGGAGCTGAAGTGAACGGTGAGGCCCGATCGATGTTTTGGTGTTTACGTGGGCACCCGATCGGGCTTAGTGGGTGGCTTATCGATAAGCTTATTGCGCACTGTCCCCGTGGTTCAATTCGCCGCCGTCGGTTTCATTCATTCGTCTCCAGCTTCTCTTTCGTCTCTGGTTCCCCTGATTGCTGTTTGACGCCTTATCTACGATCCATGGTTCCTTTCTCCTGCTCCACTAAGCTTGTTTAAAACCAAAAAAACACCATCAGGGGTCCAGACTTTCAATACAGCCTAAGAGAAGCAAGCACCGCGTCGTTGCTTTCGAAACTCGTACCACAAACACTGAACCCTGCAAATAATTACATTATCAGACAGACTGCTGATGAAAACTGGAACAAAGGCTGGAAAACAACCCATTATCAAGCGTTTGTCCTGCCCTAGCCGAAGATGACGCGCAACGAGTCCTTGTGCGCTACCTTGATCGGTGGTTGTTGCAAACCCATATCTGAAGCAAATTGCTCAACAGCCACTGAGCTCATGTGCTAAACGTTGTGCATGCCTGACTAGGCAGGAATGCTGCCAATGCTGTTCAATTTGCGGGCGCAAATCAAGCACAAGGGAGCCTCTCTAACAAGCACGTCATGAGACAAGCCTTGAAACTTGGAGGGTAGTCTTATGATCGTTCTATGTTCCCTCTCACTGATGCTTTAGCTTTGGCCTCGTTGTCAAGGGCAGTTCGTGAAAATCCAGTTTGGCCATCGATACTACTAGGGTCTTCCAGAATGTTGACTATATATCCCTGTGTCCGATCTGCTGTCGTGACCAATTTAGCCTTCATCACAAGAAGGACATTATATGTTTCTATGCTTCGCAGTCACGACCCGACCCTACCAGGAAGCAATCGGCTCTATACAGCTGTAACAATGCGGAGCCGTTAATGTTAATCAAGTTTGATTAGAGAGGAGCTCTAGATTCCCATGGCCTGAGTCTGGAGGCCAAATTCAGGGCGGATTTCTGATGTCTAGTAGATGGACCGGCACCTCTCATTTGGCACTTTGGTATCGGGCCCACTGCAGTACGATGTAGCGACCAGAGAACCGGACCTCTTCATCAGGACCGACAAGGTACAGCGGAGATGTTATAGTGATGTGTCATTTATACAGCTCAATTTGGTATGTGGCGCATTAGTGCTGTCAATTGATAGTGTTGCTTGATGTGAGCTGTCACACAGAGATTTTGATCTTATCTGTGACACAGTAACATTGGTCACTTCAGGAGGGTTGTGTTTGACCCTACCTTAAATTGAAAATGCTGCCGTTCTCCTTGAATCAAAAGCAGGTTGTTTACGACATCAGTTGGGCAATAATTTGCGAAGGCGAGTCCATGATGCCCGCTTAATGAAAGTTTTACTAGGTGCGCAGAACGGTATACCTAACCAATAGAGCCTTCCTTGATCAGAAACAGAATGATCCTTAACAAACGACTACCCCGTCATTGCAGATGTGGAGGTCCAAAGAAGTCGACAGGACCAAAGTAGGTGGTAGCTACCGGTGTCGATTACCTCTTTCTAAGATATTGCCCATCTTCTCTCTCGTGGTTCAAAGACCATCATACTTGGCAACCAGGACAAATTGAGCTATAAGTACCCCGGATATCAAGTCCAGCAGCTTTCCAGGAAGGTAACTTTCTGAGGAATCCTACAATGGCATATCCAATCTATCCGGCCACTGACGGGAGGAGAAACTCGGGTGCCTAGGGGTGGGAATACCTTCTCACTGTCAGCAAGAATGGTATTTCCCATGAGCTGCTGATGACTATGTCACGTACTCATCGAGGAAGAATTGCGCGCTGAGCATGGCTTGGTCGATATGAACCGTCATACTATGACAACGACAGCCCAGAGATTGCTTACTCCACGACAAGCAATTTGTTCTATGGGTTATCTCATTGTGGCTGTCTGGGCCAAGCTCATGACGGGCGGGTTATTTGATAGTGTAATCATGATTCGAGCTTGGTTCTGGTCATGACATCAACAAGCCTTGCTAGTGACATTCTACGCCCCTGATTCAGTTCATCGATCGATCATATATTTTGGCGGTGTCAACAAAGCAAGGCTGGTAAGCTCACCGTCAAGGCACGCACCCTGAGGTTTTAGGCATGTTTCCCGGTAAACTCCACAGATTCCGCCAAGCCAGAAATCTTACGGCCTGTGCCGTGGAATTTTGTGTCTCATGCTCCATGAGGAAGTAAAGCGAGGGGACTCGGGAGGAAAGGAGAGGAGAGGAGAGGAGTAGGAAAAAAGAGGAGAGGAGCGGACAAGAGGAGAAGGTAGTAAGTTAGTGATTGCGGTGTCCAAACAACCGAAAGAAGACATTGACACGTGATCGTATGCAAACTCCACGGGTTGATCGTCGCCAAATACGGTTTCAACGACTTTCCTCTGTCGGAATATACTTGCTTCGTCTTTCTTTGTCTTTCTTTACCCCCCCCCCGCGCGAAGCCCACCCATCCATGGCCACGATGCGATCACTGGACAATGAAGTTTACTGCAGCACCTTGTACCAAATACTTGGCTGCCTACGCTGGTTACCCATCCATAGAAGCCGTGGAAGCAGGGGTTAAGACAATGGTACCTCACCCCTTGACGATCATGCTGCAAGTGTGCTGGTGCAGGAAGCCCACATACACTTATTTCGAAGGCAATTTAGTAAGTCTAGAATTCTCTATACTTGGAAGTATGGAGTCCCCACCAACCCCTCGGATAGGGATACTATTCGACCCACAGTAACGGTGGCATCCGCTCACGGCTCCTCCTTCAGTTGTAAATGATATCGATATGGTGTTAGCCATGAGAGGAAAGGCGTACCATACAGAATTCGAGAACAATCCTGTCACTCGCTGCTGACCTCATGGTTTGCTGGATATGTGGCAATGCTACGCACTGGGGTCAACGCCATGGCATCAACGCTCAGATTTCGGCCCCCTAGATGCGCAGGGAATGCATCTTAACCAGTTCTGAACATGCCGCAGATGAGACACGCTCCCCCCACTCTGGGATGCTGGGTATTTCTATCTCTGTATAAAGCTTGCTGCCCTTCAACATGGGGCCAACAAGTGTGGTGATTTCAGGCTCAACAACCCAAATTCTGTTGGTGAAGAATACGCCGCTCCTAACAATGGAGGGCCCGTACCGTGTTTACCTCTTTGGAGATCAGACCAGCGACTTCGAATCAGGTCTGCGTCGTCTTATCCAAGCTAAAAACAATACCATTGTTCAATCTTTCTTCCAACAATCCTTTTACGCACTACGGCAGGAGATCTCGAAGCTGCCACCAGCCCAGCGCAAAATTTTCCCCCGATGCACAAGCCTTATAGATCTGCTCGCCAGATACCGTGAATCAGGACCGAGCCCCGTCCTCGAGAGCGCTTTTACATGTATTTATCAGCTGGGGTCTTTCATCAAGTAAGTATCATCGTTTCCAGTCCCACAGCGATCGCTCTAATATACCTCAAGTTACTATGGAGATTTGGGGAATGCGTACCCGTCAGAGGGCTGCCAGCTGGTTGGGCTGTGTACAGGGCTTCTCAGCTGTGCGGCTGTGAGTGCCTCGAGAAACGTTGGGGAGCTCCTGCCCGCCGCAGTGGAAGCAGTATTAGTTGCCCTGCGGCTCGGACTATGTGTCTTGCGTGTTCGAGAGCTTGTCGACTCTGAAGCAAGTGCCTCGCCATGGTCCCTTCTGGTTTCGGGACTGGGCGAGGAAAGCGCCTCTAGTTTGATCGAAGAGTATAGCATCAAAACTGTAAGAATAGCGGCTCTCAACGTCATCAAAGTACTGACCATTGCAGGCGATCCCCCCGTCGTCAAGGCCTTACATCAGCGCAGTGGGCTCCAATGGAGTCACAATCAGCGCGCCACCACTTGTCCTTGACGCATTCATCGAGAACGGTCTTGCAGGGAACTACAAACATACGAGAGTGCTGATCCACGGGCCTTACCATGCTCCGCATTTATACGACAGCAGAGACGTGGACCGGATTCTGGAATCATTCCCTGAAGAACGTCTTGGGCATTACACCACACATATCTCTGTGTTGTCCAGCAATACTGGCACACCCATCGGGGCCAGCAAGATCAAGGAGGTTCTGCAGGTCGCCATTGAAGAAATCTTATTGCGTCGACTCTGCTGGGATAAGGTCACAGAGTCATGCATCTCGATCGTTGAATCAGCAAACAGCCAGTCATGCCAGCTTATCCCTATCTCTACCAGTGCCACCCAAAGCCTTCACACTGCTTTCAAGAAGGCCGGAGTCGCGAATATCTCGCTTGAAACCGGAATCGGCGATGTATCTGCAACAGACAAGCCTAATTTGAGCGGAAAGACCGAATGCTCCAAAATAGCCATTATTGGTAT